AATGAATAGATATGAACTATTCAAACGTTAACTCAACTAATACGGCAACTACTGTAGCAGACCAAGAATATATCTGATATATTATATCATAATCTCGTGAACCTTATTAATTAAACATTGATTTTGTATTTTAATCTAATGATACCACCATTTAGCCACTGTTCCTGATAGAAATTGTCTAATAGCCCAGCTATTGTTGTAATTTTGAATGCAACGCCCGAACTGTCATTATTTGAATAACACTCGTAGAAAATACTTTACTTTAAAATTTAAACTTTAAATCCTAATCTTTTCGTAAATAGTGTACAATGAATTCTTCAGCAAATTCAATGAGTCTTAAGGGAATATTCTTTAAATTTGTATTTTTGCCATTAAGTATTTTGATAGTATCTTACAATTTAGTGCCACTTCTCATATGTCTTGTAAAGAAGTATTTGTTTGAGAGAACAGAGAAAAGAAGAGCCAAACAATTGTCATCCGAGTCACCGGGGAGTCCATGGATTAGATTGAGAGCACAAACAAAGACTCGCATCAAAAGCAATTTGCTCGACGAGTGTTCATCTGTTCCGCAACTCTTCTCTAAAGTGATGCAAAAGTTCAAAGACAAGCATTGCTTTGGATTCAGACAAGTCTTGCACGAAGAAGAGCAGAAACAGTCCGATGGAAAAGTATTCAAGAAAATCGTGTTATCTGACTATCAATGGCTCAGTTGTGAAGAAATCAATAATAGAGTCGAATATATGTCTAAAGGATTTTTATCGATTGGAATTAAACCGAAAGATATTGTAATGATATTCGCGGACACGAGACTCGAGTGGATGATATCGGCTCAGTCTCTGTTCAGAGTTGGCTCGACTGTGGCCACACTTTATGCCACTTTAGGTGAAGAAGGAATTATATACGGTATCACCGAATGCCAGGTCACGCATCTTATAACCAGTTCTGAGTTGTTATTCAAATTGAAAGCAGTTATCCATAAATTAACACAAATTCAATGCATTGTCTATATGAGTGGACACAATCGACCCAATATTCAAGAGATCTTCAGTGAAAGAGAGCTCAAAAGAATTACTTTCTATTCGATGGACCAAATCGAAGAACTGGGAAAATCACACAAAGACTTGAAAGGAGTGGAGGCCACCGCACAGGACACCGCTGTTATCATGTATACCTCGGGTTCAACGGGTGTTCCCAAAGGGGTGATGGTTTCGCACCGGAATTTGTTGACTGCAGTCAAAGCCTTCTACACGTTGGCCGAAGCGTTGGCCTCCGATGACGTTTACTGCGCTTATCTACCGATGGCTCACATCATGGAAATGAGTGCCCAATTGTTCTTCATTTCCAATGGTTTGTCGGTTGGCTTCGCAACCATTCAGACGCTTACAGATAAGTCAACGGGTCTTAAGAAAGGGATGAAAGGAGACCTGACATTACTTAAGCCTACAATTATGACAGCCGTTCCCCTCATCTTAGACCGGATTCGAAGAGTCATTGAAGACACAGTTAACAAGAATTTGTTGTCAAAAATAGTGTTTATTTTTCTAAGAAGTCAAAAGAGCTTTTGGAGTCATTTTGATTTAAATACTCCAATCATTAATATAATATTTTGCAGAAAATTCAAAGCAATTCTCGGAGGAAGAGTGAAAGTGATAGCCTGTGGCGGAGCACCTCTTTCACCAGAAGCTCATCAGTTTATGCGCCACTGCTTTGATCTAAAGGTATTGCAAGGTTTGTATGATTTAATAGTTACAAAAGTATGCAATTATTATATAAATAAGTTAATCATAAATAGGTTATGGATTGACTGAAACGTCTGCATCGGCCACTCTCATGGATTTGGATGACTCTAGTGTTGGGTTTGTGGGCCAACCCCTGGACGGCATTCAAATCAAACTCATTGATTGGGAAGAAGGCAATTATAAAGTGATCGACAAACCAAACCCAAGGGTGATCTAATGATTTCAATAAAATGGTCCATGTTAATATTGTAGTACAGGGTTTAACTTGATATGTCTTCTTTGAAACCAAATGGTGAACCAAAGGGTGAGGTAGTGGTCGGCGGACTAAACGTTACGAACGGTTACTATCAAAACGAAGCGTTGACTCAGGAGTTATACAAAGAAGAGAATGGAATCAAATGGTTCTTCACTGGAGATATCGGAGAGATATACCCAAACGGATCCATCAAAATCATTGACCGCAAGAAGGATATCATTAAGTTGTCGACTGGAGAATACGTATCGTTAGCTAAAGTATGTTAACCAATGAATGAATCAATTATTTATTTGCAAATGTTTGTACTGTAAGGTGGAGGCAGAAATCAAAAAATGTCCATTTGTTGACAATGTCTGCGTTTATGGCAATTCAGGCAAAGACTATTTGATTGCATTGATTATTCCCAATGCAAAGCAATTGCAACAATTAGCCAACAAATTATCCAAAAGCCATATGAGTTTCCCCGAGTTGTGCGCCGACACACACATCAATGACTCTGTATTGAAGTCCATTCAAAGTATTGCAAGAAATTCAAAGTTATCTAAAACGGAGATTCCCAACAAAATTAAGTTATGTTCAGAGGAATGGCTTCCGGATAACAATTTGGTCACATCTGCGCTTAAATTAAAGCGAAAAAACATCCAAGAATTCTATCAAAACGATATAAACCTAATGTATGACATTATAGACCAATCCTAGTCTTTCTCAAGCTTTCAATTATTATTTTTATAAAAAATCAATTTATATTTATATGTTTTTAAATTAGATAAATTAGATAGACATATGGATAAATTACATGGATACATATAGATAAATTAGATATATGTTTTTACATTCATATTCTATTTGTATTCTAAATATTATTAAATTATTATATTATAGAAACATAGCATTTTTCATTGTATACTGTACAATACACATTACATTATCAACATTATCATAAATAATTTACTAAATTATAAATAAACCTCATTTGTTATTGCTCTTTTTTAGAAATTTTAATATTTCTATAAATAGTCAAGATCAATAGAAATAGTATCTAAATGGCAGCAAATATTTGAAAGATATCTTTGAACAATTGAATTAATCTGAACACTAACTTATATGTAAATACAATTTGTAATATTGAGTTCAATTAAGACCATCCCAGGTTCAAATTAGAAATTTCTAGACATTCACTTGAAAACACTTGTTTTTCCTTTAAGCTTTAAAGTTTAAGGTATGATTAAAATCTTTAATTTTTGGTAGATTTCATATATAATTATAATTATAATTCATAGATCTCAATTTTTAATAACTCAAGTCAAGCTATGGGTAATACAAAGTATTGTACTATACATTGTAGAATACTTTTTTCATTCTATACACTACTATAGAATCTATACTGTAGATATTTTGGTATAAAAGTAATTAATTTGCAAACATAGATGTAATAGTAATAAAATTTTGTTTCATATTTGAACAGAAGTATAAACTCAATAAAACATAAATTCAAGAACAATGTTTGAAATGGAAAATATACACAAATTTCATATCATTACTATAATTACAATTTAAAAATTGTTTTATGAAGTTTTAGCCAAAATGTTTAATAAATTAATTACAGTATATAAAGTATCAAACATATGAATGCAGTTATTTAGAGTATTTCAGATTGTAAAATCATTAAATAAAATGATCAAACTAAATATAACTTAAAATTTTACATAATTCTAGGATTACCGGTAAACATAAATATAACTATTAGTAAACATAATTTATATTAGCATTTAAACTAATAATTTAGAAATTTTGATGACATTTATACGGATTAACAATTGAACAAAAAGAGCATAATTGAAATGTAGTAAAACACAAGTCAATGGTTGGAAGTCATGGATGTAATGATTGTAATAATGAAAACATTTTGGCATCACTACTGAAATGCGAGTAAAAGTTGTGAAACTAGTTTGGAAACAAGTTTTCAATCAAATAGAGTTTCAGTTTTCATTTGGTATATGAGTTGTGAAGTTGTGGACAATGACCTTGAATTCAGATTCTTGTGTCTGAAATGTGTGAATATAATCAAAAATCACTAGAAAATCAAAATTAGGTTTTAAATAATTGTGTTTCAAAATGCTTTCCAATCGGTTGATGACATACTTCAGCGAATTGACAGCTTTTCAACGATAGCCTAATGATGGAGAGCATAGTAATCGTGGCCATCGGTGTCCTGTGTCTGGTATTCGTGGGATCATTGGTGGCACTGATAGTGATATGTCATCACCGGTATTGTCGCAAAGACTTCTTTGCTAAACATTTTATCGATTCGCGTCCAGACGTCGGTCTAATCGGTGGTCACAACGGATACGATGGGGACACAACGCCATCAATAACATGGAGTTGGATGACGTGCGGCTCCATCCAGACATCGATAAGATATTGGCGGACACCCAATGGGTGGACGACGCCACTGGACTCATACCTCATTGTCTGGCAATACTGAAGAGTTGTCATCACTTGACTGAGCGATTAGTGGCGGCGACGATGAGTGCAATGACCCGATACCAGGAGGAGGAACAGCAGCACAAGTTGTGGGAAATCATTAGAGTTGCCCAACGGATCAGTCCCCGAGTGGACGATGTCGTCCAGTCTATGTACCCCCCACTCGACCCACGACTACTCGAGTCACGATGTCTTTCACTGGTCTTATCCGTGTCACAGCTCGCTATTGTCATCAGATATCTGTGTCATGTTAAGAGCCATTGGATTCAAGAGGCTCTTCAAGAATTGGACGTCCAGTTAAAGGTTTGTCTCGTTTTGTAATTTTTCATTTTAACAATAATTGATTCATTAATATTTGCGTACATTTAGATTCTACGTGACGCCGGACAAACACTTTTGGACACATCCCTTACCCCATCCAATGTTAACTCAGATGAAGAAAAAGATATCGAAAATGCTAATAGAGTTGATATAAATCGATAAATGCATTTTGAATACAATATAAGATTTGATTTGAATGTGTTTTACTCTAAATTCTATGTTTCCATTGATCCGGTGTTTAACACTTCAAAAACACATAAAAGTCAATTCAAATATTAGTTTATCAAAAACTTTGCAATATTCAGTATTATTTTAAAATTATATCAATAGCTTTGTAATAAACATTTAATGTAAATTAACTCTAAAATTAGAAATTCTTGTGAATCTGTGTTTAAATTAGGAGACAAAACTAATTTAATAGAAATTCGGCTTTTGATTATAATGGGTGTCCCATCGTATCAGGACTACTTTCACTTGAAATTAAAATTAAAAATATTTACAATTATATTCTACCAACAAAAACTATACCAAAATGTTGGAAATTTATTCATATTTTATGTGAGATTTACAAAATATTTATATAATGCCAACCCTGATCATAATTTGAGTTGCAATCCATGCATGTCTATTTTACGTAATACCATAGGAATACAACTGTCATTGAATGCTCGCATCAATTGAATCAATGCTTAAGCGGCAAGAAATTAGCCATTTTTTATGAAAAAACAGACATGAATGCAGTAAAACTATAATTATGACCAGGGTAAGCAATTTATGAATATTTTATAAATTGCACATAAAATATGAATAAATTTCCAACATTTTGGTATAGTTTTTGTACGTATAATATAATTGTAAATATTTTTAATTTTAATTTCAAGTATTCCTGATACGATGGGACACTCGATATTTTACGAGTGCTTTCCTACTGTATGTGTATTTATTTTAAATGTCCAGATCATATCATTGAATCAGAATTCATTAATTTATTTTAAATATTATCATCAAATGTGTTTAAAACAATTCATTTGATTCATATAATAGTGTAAACTTAAATTAAATGCTTACAATTGTTTTATTGTTAAAATTGTAAAAAAATAGACCAAAATCAATGTTAACATCAATTAATAATTTTATTAATTATTTTTATTGTACATTCATAATGATTATATAATATAATATTTAACTAACATTTTATTATTTTATAATTTAGTTTCATTTTGTGACTCAATTTTATATATAATTTGTAATTCTTTTCACTTTCAAAAATAAATTCATTTTTATAAACCATTTCAAAAACACTGATTAGTCTTCTCATCGCAAGTATATTAACATAACTTTACAAATAGTAATCAAATGTCTTAAATCCGTCAAAATATTTCACATATGTTTTGAATGTCAGTCACCGGCCAGTCGTGTGTGAAAAAGGCACTCAAGTCGTGAATTTAACAATTGATGTCAAGTTTTCATCACATGATAGATAATATTCGTTGAATGCGTTAGAATGTGATCATATCATCGGTGGTCACCCAATGATCATCAACTGGATTGGGCTACAGATGAGCCGATCTGTATGTGAAGCATAGGATTCGATGAGAATTTCTTAGTGTTGTTGTTGTGTGCGCTCACTGGAGGCCAGTTGCCTATCGGTGGTCACCCAATGATCATCAACTGGATTGGGCTACAGATGAGCCGATCTGTATGTGAAGCATAGGATTCGATGAGAATTTCTTAGTGTTGTTGTTGTGTGCGCTCACTGGAGGCCAGTTGCCCGCCGTCCCATTGGCCACTTGTGGGGGCGGGGGTGGAGGGTCTCGACGTCTCTGACTTTGTTGCACTGAAAACATAAATAGTTTGATAATTTATAATACATTTCCAAATCACCACATTTTAATACAATAAATTTAATTCTGTTGTTTTATTTTATCAAGTCTATAAATAAATCATTTTTTATACAAAATTCTTTACTCAAATGCCAAATATTTCATTTGAATACTGTTATTCTACACATACACATTTCAGTACAGTATGTACTGAGTAATTTTCATTAGTGTCATAACTTGTAAACTAGTGTCATAATGTTTACTACAAATTTTTTAGTCATCCAGATCTAAAAACCAGGATATTCTTAAATAATCCTTATTTCCTGTCAATTGTTAAGGAAACCATGTTTTTATAAAACAAATATAGCAAAATTCACCACAATTTCTATAATTTACTGCATATAAATTGCGAAAACAATTATGAATTTGTTTTATCGTGTTAGTATATTTATAGGCCATAAGTTATAGCTTTTGCCTAAATTTACAATCGTTTATGTTTATACAGTACATTTACATTATTTATTATTTTATTACTATCACTGCAACTCTTTCATAAGGTATATACGGTATAGTAAAGTAGATTTGATAGGAAATATCAATTTAAGAATATTCTGGATGATACTAAAATTGTTTAAAGTACTAAAACATGGGGATTGCAATCATTATATAATAATACAGAGATAGAATAAAGTAAAACATTTGGCATTTGGGTTAAAATAAGTTTTCAATTTAAACAAATAATTGAATTGTATGAAAATCATGTAAAATAGTTAATTAGAAAAATATCAGAATTGCTAAAAAGATCTCAAATTGCTTTTCGGTTCATAAAACTTGTGATTTTATATCACAGTTTATAAAGTATAATAAAAATACATTCATTGAACTCAAAAGGCAACTGTTTTTCGACATAACAATCGAAGGAAATAAATGACAAATTAGTAAAAATATTGCATTCATTATGAAAATATTGTTTAATGCTGTATAGTAAGGATATTTAACTTAATTACTTAAATAAATTAATATCGCAATTTGTTACCACTATATTGACTATCGTACATATTAAAGACAAAATGTTCAAGTTACTAATTTTGTAATCTTTATGATTAATACTACAATTTCGAATTCAATGCTAATGTTATTTGTAGCAAATAGTTATGGTCTTAAACAAACACTAAATTTAGATTTAATACATAAATAAGTTAAAAGTGTTGTGTATTTAATGAATAACCGGTGCTCTTGAATACTAAACTGGCAGTCTGTGTGTGGGATTCAATTAGCAATAATTGTTGGCTCAGGGATATACTGCAGCTATATTGTAGGTGTACAGGTATATGACTAGAGAATTAAAAGTAACAAACAATTATTATCTGACAGCTTATTCAGAAAATCGTCAAAATAGTGAAATTCTAACATTTATAACACATTATGTTTATTTGAAATCTAATGAAACGAGTGGTCGTGGAAACAAAGATATAAGATGTCTATCAATGAGTTTCTATAGTGAATGAGTGCATAATTGGCGCAATGGGTCACTCATTGAGTAATAGATTTCTGTATTTGGTTGAAAGCATTGCAATCAATGTCAACATCGATTAAAATGGTGTAATGACTATATTTGCCTCCAAGGGTACATTCAACAGATATAAGGTATGGCAGTGTCAGTGGTGTACTTACTCTGACTCGGGTAGACTTTATTTTGAGCGGACATTGTCGATGGCGCCGGCAGTTCAAAGATTCCCTTAAATGTCGAGAATCGCGACGAAAATTGTTCTTCAATTCAAATCAATACACAATTAGTTAATAAAACGAAAGGAAAGGAATAGTGTGTTAGAAATACCTCTACTGTTATTGGAAGTAGTCTTAGAGGTATTCCGGATGGGAGGGGGCGGACCGGGTGATGAGAAGTCATTTCTATTGACTTTAGGGTTGACTACTTTGGTAAGCGAGGGCGGGGGCGGTGGCTGTGAGGGATAGTTATTATTAGGTGTGCCATTAGACGTACTTCTGTGCGGAGGCGGTGGTGGAGGTCCTAACGGAGCTCGACTGGTGACGGGCCCTTTGGGCGCCTGTATGGGAATAGTGGGCGCACTGGCCTTCATGGATGGCAACCGCTGAACAGTATTGTTAGGCCGCGTCGGGATCGTCGACACGGGTGGTGGCGGTGGCGGATATGTCGGGCTTTGAGACATACCGTTGCCATTCCTGGGCGGTGCCGGAGGTTTGACGGACTGTTGGTTGAAGTTTGACACCAATGCAGAAAAGTCTGGTTTTGCACTCGAGTTCTCGTCTTTGAAACTCTGTCTTTGACTCACATTCAATGGTTTCGATTGAATGGTTTGATGGGAAACACTGTTAGCACTGTTCACACCGTTAGCCATTTTGGGCGGTGGCGGGGGTTTCATATTTGGCGGCCCCGGCCTTCGGTTCACATTTGATGCGCTTCTACTACTGGACTGGGAGTTGGACCTCTGGATTGTCGGCGGCTTTTTGGGCAATAGAGGGGCACTGGTCTTCGTGGGGCCGGACGGCGGCACTTGAGGCGCCTGTCCTTTGCTGTCGTTCACCACATAATTGGGTTTCTCTCGTGCTTTCATTGTATGGAATTTGTTATTATTGCTAACATTTAGTCCATTGATTGGATGCAAAAACGATGAGTTATTGTTTGAATTGCTTTGAAATTTCGATTCAAGACTAGTCTTAATGGATGTATTTGTCGGTCGCACCGATTCGTCAGTTTTCGTGTAACTATTGTTCACTTTATTCGCACTAACGGTCAGTCCGTTGGCCACTAACTTACTGCCCGTTTGGTTGGCCACTAACTTACTGCCCGTTTGTCTCAGTTTAGGGACACCGCCAGCAAACAGTCCTCCCAATTGCATCGGTCCTCCAGACATACCATTCGATGACTGCATCGGCTTTTGAGGACCAGAACTCCCATTATTTCCAGACGAAGACGCTTTGCCTGAAATCACATCAAATCAATTAAACTCGCATTCAGTCAATACATAGCTATTAAAGCAATGAATAGAGAAATGTTTAGCAAATATGTGAGCGAAACAAGAGTTTGAGTCAATTATAGCATCAAATGTTAGGTCAGAAGCCATAAGAATATAGCGTTTAAGACAACAAATGGTTTAGTGATTGCAAGCGGAATATGATAGCGGATGGCAATGACGGCAATGTCAGCAATGTCTGGATGTATACCATCGAGAATGGGTGCACTCCTGTCGTTCACTTGAGCGGTCTTTTTAAGTCTGGTGCCGGACCTGATCTCAGACAACATGGCATTCCTACCCTGAGCATCGTTCTTAGCGAGCTTAGGCGGTCCACCCGCTGGTGGTGGCGGTGGTGCGGGTGGTGGTGGCGGAGGTAAGGGTGCCATCGGATCACTAAACCTATTGATAACCACTATTGAGAGCAACTGATACTCTAATGACAAACAAATAACAAAACAAATCAATAATCAAATCAAACATAAAATGATCGCTAAATGTCTAGTAATGAGTGAATCAGTGATTCAGTGGATCCAGTGATTCAGTGGTTGTCTCACACTATAAGGACAACCATTTCAGTGTTCAATGAAATGAAGTGATTGTGTGTTGACTGCAATCGCAACCACTTATCGCAGGTTTGCAATTAAGCCTTAATATTAGACTAACAGTAATACTAATCACTTTCACTATAAGGACAACCATTTCAGTGTTCAATGAAATGAAGTGATTGTGTGTTGACTGCAATCGCAACCACTTATCGCAGGTTTGCAATTAAGCCTTAATATTAGACTAACAGTAATACTAATCACTTATCACTGAAACCTACATTCAATACACTGTACGCTGTATTGTATGCATAGTAATGGTTATGCGTATGATTGGCTCGTATATTGAATTAAGGATTTGAACAAATGAACGCAAATACCATTGATGTGAGCATTGGTGAGAGTCGTGGACAGGGATGTAGTGGTGATGTAGTGGTGGTTGTGTCGGGCAATGAGTGGTAAATGAGCACAAATGAGTGGTCGTTGCAGTCAATGAGTTCACTATTAGAGGCTTTAAATGGGTTCACAATAATGACAACAACTGTAAGATGACGGAAGTTAGCCCTCACTCACAACCAGCCAATCACTTACCACTTCACACATACAGCTAATACGTCCGCTATATCTCTGCACCCGCCGTATCCTCAATACAAACCAATGCTAACACACACTCACGATGTATTCACACGTATTTATTGCACATATATTATGCAACCATACGGTGAGTCACAGGTAGAGTTGAGTTTGACAATTAAAGGGCGTATTAATCATCAAACTATAGTTACCTGACACAATCGTTCACTATTTTAACCAGGATCACTAATATTGCACTTGTATAATTCAATTCAAAATATTTAATGATTAGTTGTCCTTGTTGAAAAGTTGATAATTGTTTTGATTAAGTGTGATATTAAAGTTATAATGAACTGACTGTATGTTTGGCAATAAGTCTGACATATGAATACTGTATGTATCTAATAGTAAATGGCATTTGTATGCAATCATAAAGCACTGAAACTTGTGGTCAATACATAAATACATAAATAGGACACTTTATACACTCGTTTTCACATAAGACTATCTAACAGTTATATAGTAACTTATTGTGTCCACACCTGTGCCCTGTCAACGCCCCCGATATCATAGTTTAGTAGATAGTTGGTGGTGATAAGTATCTGGCTTATTTATGTGACATAGGGTTAGGTTTGTTGGTAGTGACGGGTAGTGCGAGATATTGGACAATGATTACACGTTTCATTGCAATGGCATTACTACTCAAACAATTAGCATATGATTCACGAGTTGTTACCATTGCTCTCGCTATTAGATCATATAATTAGCAATTCTGAGGCAAAAGTTAATCATTTTCAAAATATACTTAAAATGTGAATACAATTAATTATGAAAAACTACATAAATTGTACAAGTTGCATTATAGATGCATTATACAGGTTGAATGGATTCTTTAAATTCTGTATACAGTATCAACTGTACACTGAATATTGGTTGTCATATGAATTTATTGAATAGTTTTATTGAATGAAATTATGAATATTTGGTGAGATTTGCAGAATTTTTATGACTAACATCCCATTTGGTGTAATACGAGCCCATATATGATAATACAATGTATAAACATAGGAGAGTAGATATAATGAGAAATATATTCATCATATATAGAGCTATTGACTCTATATTGCAGTCATTCTGATTGCCTTCAAACATACAATGAGTTATGAATTCTATATAAATTGACAATTATTTGAAAAATTCTCACTTATTTCGGAAGGGGTTAATAAAATGAAGACCAGTTGTGACATCAGTAGTACTTCTATAATGAATGACACCAATAATGAGATGAGACTACAGGTGAAGGCGTCGTTATTATTCACTTTCTTATTGACGGCTTTTAGGGACTGATAGATGAGAAAAGCTATGAGAAGGGATGCCATGAAATAGGACCAGTAGGCCGATCGGCTCATTATGAGCTGTGCTTCCGTTCTAAACACCGATGAAATACAAATGCCGAGCAATAGGACAGTCAAAAGCAATTGTGACCAAAGCATACAATATAGTAGAAGTGCATGTGATTTGGATAATACTATTGTTATATTCAATGGCTTTGGTGTGAAAATGACTGGATCCTCCATGTCTTCCACATTTAATAGTTCAGACTCCATATACTTTTGGTACTCTTGGTCACCAGTTTGTTGATCTGACATCATATTCCCGGTACTATTGCTTTTAATTATGGGATCAGTTATATTATTGGCTTGATTTTATTTCAAAGGTTTATTTTTCTACAATATTCGTAGAAAATGTTCAAGGTGTACAATTAGAAACTTTTATCTTACTTTTAATATTTCTCTTTGTAAAAGTGATCACTTGTTGAATGCTATATCTAATGTCAACTTTAAAATATTTTTTAGTAGTAATATCTATTTTGTATATTATATCTTATTATCAATAAATATACTCAAATACAATTTTTATAAATTCTTTAATATAAGTCTTGAAGTGTAAGATTAATTTGATTTAACTGTCAGTTAAAATTCCATAAATAACCTAAAGTTCATTAGAAATTAGAAAAATCGCCACATATTACTAGAATTTTATAACAGTTTATTAGAGATTTATAACGATTTTTATAACGATTTTAATAACGAGCACATAATCTGTATTTTATTTTCTGGTAAACGTTTGAAAAATAAATACATTTCTCTAATGAGCGCGCGATTAGTGATCAGAGAATAGAACATAGAGTTTGAGTGCAAATGAAACCCACTTTCACTCAAATGCTACACTATTTCCACAAATGATTTTTTTCATTCAATTGATTGCTATTTTATTGCAATTTAAGACGAGATATCCGTAAGTAAAATGAATTCAAAGTCATTCGTGAAGAAAGTACTGAAACGGACTCCTCTTCGGACAAGTTTTATGCAAAACTCGCAAACATTTGCCTCGACTTCGAACAGCACTTCCATATACAGTGCTATCAGTAGTAAACCGATTGCCGGTAAATATGATGAAAATATGCTGAATGTTAGCGTATATACTATATATATAGCGTTCATATGAATTGATTTTAATTTGATATTCATTTGTGAATTGAGTCGAGGATTATAACCGGGTTTTGATGAAAAACCAAAGACTGGCCAAAGAGAACGCTGTCTTAAGGAATCAAATGAGTTGTTGTAAGGAATCGCTGAATAAGTCTTGTAATGAAAACATTGAACTCAAACAACAAGTGATTAAATCCAAGACTGAAATCGAAAGACTGAGACGAGAGCTGAAGGACAAGAGCTCTGCAAACATGACTCAAGTATTGATGAAATGTTAAGAGAATTAATGAATTGAACGATAATTTGATTGAAATGATGGTTAGGTTTGCGATCGAATCAAATACGCAAACAGTCTTCTGATGGATGAGTACTTCAGAGTGAATGCAATGAAAGAGCAAATGAATGAATTCGGGAATAAAATCGAAACCATGAGAGGAATAATGAGTTCATTGGAGTCGATGGTCGACACCAGAATAACAGTCTTCTGATGGATGAGTACTTCAGAGTGAATGCAATGAAAGAGCAAATGAATGAATTCGGGAATAAAATCGAAACCATGAGAGGAATAATGAGTTCATTGGAGTCGATGGTCGACACCAGAAGTGATGGCAACGGAGCGGACAGTGAGATGAGTGGCGAAAGAGTGGACCCGTTTTGGACACTCAATGACTCGTCTGTGAGAAGAGATTCGCGTCGGTTCTCACTGTCAGCTCAGGAACAGGACATCCGAAGGAGACTCTCGGCCGACAAAATCAAACACGACTTTCAAGTGATGACAGAATTGAGTACAATATTAGAGCTCTCGAGAGAAAACAGAATTTCTTCCATCGGTTTCGTCGGAGACTTTACTTCTGGAGACGACATCACTTTTGACCACAACAACCCATTTACTCTCAATGCTATGGCCTCCACAGCCACTGCTACCACCAGTTCCAGCGCTGCAACAATCAAACCATTGGATTCCTCTATAATTGTTGAAACCAATGATAACCCAATGGCGAACACTCGTGAGGAGAAAGGGATGAAAGCAAAGAAAGTGATGAAATCTAAGCCAACAAACCCTAAGAAGAAGACACAGAAGAAGAGTGAGAATGTGATCCAAAAGAAAGCAGACATTTCTGTGTATGACTTCAACGAAGACGACGACAAAGAGAATGTAATGCCTCTCATCACCAGAAAATCCAAGCGAATCCGATCTAAGAGATTGTCCGTCACTAACATATTTTAATTATATAAACCATTATATATTTGTTTCTAAATTCTATATAAAGTATTTGTTGTTTTATATAAACTGTTCTAGATACTGTTACATTTTAGCATTTAAAAAGCTTTTATATTCTTTATTCTGTATTTTCATTGGTTTTATACGAAATAAATTTTATTCTGATAATAATTGTCATTTTTGTGGTACTGTATGAGATTCTTAAACAATTTATCACTTTATTCATAGTGTATAGTGTATAGTGTATACAATATTTATTGAAAAGTGCATTTTTATTTGATTGTCCAAAAATATATATTATAAATAAAATTAAGATTTATTGGATTTGTATTTATATTGAATTTACAAAACGATTAATCAATAAAACAGTCGATAATAACATCTTAATAAACAATACTTTATTTAAAAATCGGTTAGAAATAGTGAACTAATCTCCGGATTAAGAGTGCAGTCATTCAAGATTTGGTTCCTGTGATCGATACTCAAGACTTGGTTCCTGTGATCGATACTAATGGACACAAGAATAACATTAGACATAGTGTTGGACGTCATGAACGAGACATACAAACGATAATAAGGATGACAACGAGGACCACAACACCGATGAATATATTGACTCTCATGTTCTGCCACCACATCCTTCGGGCCACCCGTCGAGCGCCCACTCGGAACTCGTCCGCCCTATTGGACAGCATCTCAGACCTGTCCTCGAGATGGTCTAACCGCGAGCCCCTGTCCAGCATCTTATCGATGTTCTGCTGCATTATGTTTGACACTTCGCTCACGTGTTGCTTCAGTCTTCAGACATGAGACACATTCAGACATTACTAGACATTCACTACTCATTACTCACTACACATTGCACTCACTTCTGGATCTTCGGGTCACTGGATGTCTGGGCACTGCTGTGACATTCAAACACATATTAGACATACGGTTAACACATTCAGTGACCAATTGGTGTCACAACAAACCTCTGTTCCTCCAGATTGTCATCGCTTCCACTGTCCACCTATTCAATGAACAAGACATCACTTAATGTACCAAATGGTCAGACAATACATACGTTGACCGCCGAGTAATCGCCGTTATATTTGGGTTGAGTTGACATCTCTATTACCACTGAATTGACTGCAATTCACACCAAATGACACACAAATCAATACAAAACTGATGTCTCTTTGCATCAAAACATTGCAATTCATAACTGAGTCTATGTTTCACTCAACAGATGGCGAGTGGGTCTCCATTGCACACAAACCCACGTTTGCAGTGATTGGCCGATTGGGCACACATTGGGACCAATGGTTAGCGAGCATTGAATGTATAAAATAATGCCTCAAAAAGTGAACGAATAATACGTGAAAGCATTGATTGAATTGTGGTTTTGGTTAACGTTTTAAATGGCATTCAATTTGTGAGACAATTCATGTCCAACTCATCCATACATTTGTGTCGAAGACATGAAAATGAGATTTAAAAGCAAAATGAGACCAAAGAAGTCGACGACAATGAAGGAGAGGAGGAAACAGATGAAGAGTAAGTGTTGTGCGGATGTGTTGGCCATCAGGTGATGGACTTCATGTGACATCTGACTGACTGTATGTCATCCACAGCTGTATTGCGGCAAATGGTGGTGAAGTCGTTGTCGTCGATGTCGGGGACGGGTGGGGACGACAACAACGACAACAACCGGCAATTAGTCGACAGAAACGCCAGTCTTTTGGCAGAAGTGGAGGCTTTGAAGAGAGAAAAGGTGCAGATCTTCGAGTCACTGATGTTTCGCCACAACACTCAACACAACCCTAATGTGAGTCCATTGCTGTCCATCACTCGACCACTTGCTCTCACTTTGCTCTCAATCCACAGATTATTAAAAACGATTTAAAGCTATTGTTGGAGAGTCTGAAGAGTGACCACAAGAATATGATTGAATTGTTTCACAACTGTTACGAGTTTTATAACCAAATGATTACCAAAATGAGTGATCAAATCGATGAATACGTCCAAAGAGAGGACCAATTGATTGAACACAACAGTGACTCGAATCCCACGGAAACCACGGATAATAGATCTGAAGAACAAGTGTCCAAAAGTAAGACAATGTTTGAAACGAAACGACTGTCGCGACAAAACGGTCAACAACTGGTTCCCAACAACGGAAGCGATAGACATCTCAGTGTTATTGAAGAGATCTCTCAAGACGTGGTGAATGAGAACCACTCGAATACCACTGAATACTTGTCGATTGATAATCAGATGGAAAGTCCTAAAAGAGGGAACAGTTATACCTCTAGTTTAGGTTATGCATTGACTCCACACTTGGAAAATGTCACCTCAAGAACCCCTTCGATATTCAACTTTAACTGCAATTCTTTCAATGCTTTCAACGGTTTCCGAAACACTGGTTACGAGTCGTTTATGTCGGTGTCGGACACACCCCTAAGAACTGAACTCTCGTTAACCGGATTTGACTCATTTGAGTCGACCTTAACTGATGATCAGAAGGGCATTACGTCCTCAACGCCCGTCCATTCAAAGCGTATGAGTGGTGTGGATATGATTCAGAGGCCTTCCAAACGCATTTCGTCGATTAACCGGCCGTTCAGTCCGCGCATCGGTAGACCATCACTGATGGACATCCAGAATGTGATGGACAACAAGACTCGTGTTGTGTCCACACATTGCACGTCCAAAACACTGACGTTTGACAGCCAATGCAATGACACCATTAGTGTTAATATCACTAAAAACAAACGCAAGGCTCGAGCGAGCAGTAGATCCATTGAATCAGATTTGTCTGACTCTAGCAGTCTGTCCACCCGTAGTAGTCGTCGTAATCGTAAGGCTGTCTCTTATAAGGAACCATCACTTGCGAGGTATGTGTTGACTACTATTTCTATGATTTGACACTTATTTCAGTGCATTTATAAACAGTCATAACGTGAATATACTTTTCATTTACAGCAAACTTCGTCGAAGTCGCGATTGATTGGTAATAGGTTTAGTGTATATTACTAATTATATTCACGATTATCTCCATATTTTCACTTTATTTATACCTTTCACTCTTAGAATGTCTTATATTTTATTGCATTTATTTTTCAAATCATTTTATTTGCCATTTTGTATTATAAAAACATTGTCCAAGTACTTCATAAGTAATAAAACGTATGCAAATAGTTTTAACATAATGTGTTTAACATTATTACCGTAATATTATCATAATTTCAAATTATTGTTCAATTCTTAACTGTAGGACAAAATTAAATGAAAACAATTGAATATAAAAATAGAGTCAACCAATCAATCAATCAATCAATCAATCAGTTTCTAACGTAAGAATAATCTCAAAGAGCGAGCCCTCCCGACACTTGCAGAACAGTTCCCGTTATGTAAGAGCTTTTAGGAGATAATAAGAAAGCGATGGCTTCGGCCACTTCTTCAGCCTTTCCTCTCTAATGAGCGCGCGATTAGTGATCAGAGAATAGAACATAGAGTTTGAGTGCAAATGAAACCCACTTTCACTCAAATGTTACACTATTTCCACAAATGATTTTTTTCATTCAATTGATTGCTATTTGATTGCAATTTAAGACGGCCATACCTTTTATTTATACCTTTCACTCTTAGAATGTCTTATATTTTACTGGATTTTATTTCCAAATAATTTTATTTGCCATTTTGTATTATAAAAACATTGTCCAAGTACTTCATAAGTAATAAAACGTATGCAAATAGTTTTAACATGTGTTTAACATTATTACCGTAATATTATCATAATTTCAAATTATTGTTGAATTCTTAACTGTAGGACAAAATTAAATGAAAACAATTGTATATAAAAATAGAGTCAACCAATGAATCAATGAATTAGTTTCTAACGTAAGAATAATCTCAAAGAGCGAGCCCTCCCGACACTTGCAGAACAGTTCCCGTTATATAAGAGCTTTTAGGAGATAACAAGAAAACGATGGCTTCGGCCACTTCTTCGGCCTTTCCTAGTTTCTAACGTAAGAATAATCTCAAAGAGCGAGCCCTCCCGACACTTGCAGAACAGTTCCCGTTATGTAAGAGCTTTTAGGAGATAATAAGAAAGCGATGGCTTCGGCCACTTCTTCAGCCTTTCCCTGTCTTCGCAGTGGTATTTGAGCCACGAGTTGATCCAAATGATAAGGTTTGTTAGTAACCAGTGTTCTTATAACTAACTCAGGTACTTTATGTTTGAAAAAACTCCTTGTCAAAGCTGCTAGCCTCACAGCTATTTAGGCCCGTATTGACGTAACGTTGCCTAGACGTGTTTAGCCACTTCTCGGGCGACAGTGCGGGTGAAGGCCTCGACACCAGCTTTGGAAGCGTTGTAATTGCATTGACCGATGTTTCCTAACTTCGCGCTCACACTCGACACGTTCACAACTGATCCGTCCGTTTGCTTCCTTTCGATCATTTGTTGGCAAAAGAGCTATAATTGAAGACAAATGTTATTATTAAGCGAATGTGTGGCCAATGAATGTGCGGTCACTTGAGTGGCCAGGAATGTGCCCTTCAGGTTGACGGCCAACACTTTGTCGAACTCCTCTTCAGTCATGTCCACCACCAACTTATCTCTCGTAATGCCGGCGCAGTTCACCAGAAGAGTGGCCACTCTGTTGTCGTAGTTATCAGTCACTGATTGAAACAATCGTTTCAATGACTCCTTTTGCGAGACATCCACTTCCACTGTACTATTCCAAACAATCATTGGTCACAAGAATATTGATTGAGTCCATGAAATACAAACTTTTTTGAGGAACAGTTTCGACGATCGGAGTGTCGATAAATCCGGGCATAACTGCATTGCAACGGATCTGATGTTTAGCCACTTCTCGGGCGACGGTGCGGGTGAAGGCCTCGACACCAGCTTTGGAAGCGTTGTAATTGCATTGACCGATGTTTCCCAACTTCGCGCTCACACTCGACACGTTCACAACCGATCCGTCCGTTTGCTTCCTTTCGATCATTTGTTGGCAAAAGAGCTATAATTGAAGACAAATGTCATTATTAGGCGAATGTGTGGGCAATGAATGTGCGGTCACTTGAGTGGCCAGGAATGTGCCCTTCAGGTTGACGGCCAACACTTTGTCGAACTCCTCTTCAGTCATGTCCACAACCATCTTATCTCTCGTAATGCCGGCGCAGTTCACCAGAAGAGTGGCCACTCTGTTGTCGTAGTTATCAGTGACTGATTGAAACAATCGTTTCAATGACTCCTTTTGCGAGACATCCACTTCCACTGGGATGTGCTTTCCTGAACTCTGACCGCTCTTCTCAATCAACTCAATGGTCTGTTTGGCTCCAGAGATGTTCTGGTCGGCCACCACCAGACATGCACTCTCTTTGGCCAGAAGGCTGGCCACAGCCCTCCCAATGCCTGAACCCCCGCCCGTCACCACTGCTATACGATTGGCAAACATCTTCAGATCTATCTTCAAAAACTGGACACAATTTGAGACAAACTTTTATTTATAAAGTTTTTCCTCAACCAAAGTCTTGACTAAAACTCAAATGTTTGTTAAATTTAATATTTGAGTATATTAAAACATATTTATATCATATACAATAAACAATAAATGTCAAATAAAATATTTTAGTAACTTTTTCGACGCTTTTAATGCATTTGATGTGCTTTTGAGGAAATGCTTGGATCTGACAGAAGAGACAATTTCTATGAAAAGCAGCGGTTGTTATAAAGTATGAAAAATATGAATCAAGTATTCGTTATAATTAGAGGCAAATGTGGAAAAACTTGTTATGCAGAGTAATTCTGATTGCCTTCATTTGGTAATACAAACATACAATGGGTTATGAATTCTATATAAATTGACAATTATTTGAAAAATTCTCACTTATTTTGGAAGGGGTTAATAAAATGAAGACCAGTTGTGACATCAGTAGTACTTCTATAATGAATGACACCAACAATGAGATGAGACAACAGGTGAAGGCGTCGTTATTATTCACTTTCTTATTGACGGCTTTTAGGGACTGATAGATGAGGAAATCTATGAGAAGGGATGCCGTGAAATAGGACCAGTAGGCCGATCGGCTCATTATGAGCTGTGCTTCGGTCCTAAACACCGATGAAATACAAATGCCGAGCAATAGGACAGTCAAAAGCAATTGCGACCATCTATGAGAAGGGATGCCGTGAAATAGGACCAGTAGGCCGATCGGCTCATTATGAGCTGTGCTTCGGTCCTAAACACCGATGAAATACAAATGCCGAGCAATAGGACAGTCAAAAGCAATTGCGACCAAAGCATACAATATAATAGAAGTGCATGTGATTTGGATAATACTATTGTTATATTCAATGGCTTTGGTGTGAAAATGACCGGCTCCTCCATGTCTTCCACATTAAATAGTTCACACTCCATGTACTTTTGGTACTCTTGGTCACCAATTTGTTGATCTGACATCATATTCCTGGTCCTATTGCTTTTAATTATAGGATCAGTTATATTATTGGCTTGATTTGATTTCAAAGGTTCATTTTTCTACAATATTCGTAGAAAATGTTCAAGGTGTACAATTATAAACTTTTATCTTACTTATCAATAAGTGATCACTTGTTGAATGCTATATCTAATTATTTTTTAGTAGTAATATTTTGTATATTATATCTTATTATCAATAAATATACTCAAATACAATCTTTATAAATTCTTTAATATAAGTCTTGAAGTGTAAGATTCATTTGATTTAACTGTCAGTTAAAATTCCATAAATACCCTAAAGTTCATTAGAAATTAGAAAAATCATTAACATTACTAGAATTTTATAACAGTTTATTAGAGATTTATAACGATTTTAATAGCGAGCAAATAATCTGTATTTTATTTTCTGTAAACGTTTGAAAAATAAATACATTTCTCTAATGAGCGCGCGATTAGTGATCAGAGAATAGAACATAGAGTTTGAGTGCAAATGAAACCCACTTTCACTCAAATGTTACACTATTTCCACAAATGATTTTTTTCATTCAATTGATTGCTATTTTCTCTAATGAGCGCGCGATTAGTGATCAGAGAATAGAACATAGAGTTTGAGTGCAAATGAAACCCACTTTCACTCAAATGTTACACTATTTCCACAAATGATTTTTTTCATTCAATTGATTGCTATTTAATTGCAATTGAAGACGAGATATCCGTAAGTAAAATGAATTCAAAGTCATTCGTAAAGAAAGTGCTGAAACGGACTCCTCTTCGGACAAGTTTTATGCAAAACTCGCAAACGTTTGCCTCGACTTCGAACAGCACTTCCATATACAGTGCTATCAGTAGTAAACCGATTGCCGGTAAATATGATGAAAATATGCTGAATGTTAGCGTATATGGCGTTCATATGAATTGGTTTTAATTTGATATTCATTTGTGAATTGAGTCGAGGATTATAACCGGGTTTTGATGAAAAACCAAAGACTGGCCAAAGAGAACGCTGTCTTAAGGAATCAAATGAGTTGTTGTAAGGAATCGCTGAA